TGTAATATTATATTTTTTCATTCAGTTGGAAGCGATGGGTCACAAGGAGCAGCCTCGAGTATGTATTTTTTTTTTTGACTGGCCAATACATAGTAAACATTTAAATTTGTTTTAAGTTTTATGTTAATTTAGACGATATCTAATTAATTCATTACAGCTTAAATACAGTTATTCGAATTCGGACTGTAGAGCAACGATATTTCCGAATATCAGTGTTAATTCATTCCAACGTAAAATAAATCATTCTGTCAGTAACTATTGTACTATTTTTTTTTAAACAGTAACAACAACTACAACAGTACAGCCCACAACAAGTGGAGAAAGATTGACTACAGGTAGGCCTAGGGTAGTATGATACGTATCGGATCGGGAGTACTAATTTAATGGCTTATCAATAATTTTGGGCCCTCCCTGGGGTTGTTAATTGAATGTAATTGTTATGTCAGTAACTGTTGTATTCTTTTTAAATAGAAACAACAGCTACAACAGTGCAGTCAACAACAAGCGGAGAAATAGTGACTTTATGTAGCTATGATATTATATGATACGCAATAACTTAATGGCCTATAATAAACACATGCGCAAAGAGTGTGAAAGATCAGTCGCTTCTAATCGGATACGAATTCTCAACGTAGCATAGTAACGAGTGTTTTAAAATATCAATGTTAAATCATTCGAATGTTCTTTTAAAGTAGAAACAACAGCTACAACATAACAGCCGGCAACAATAAAATGCTTTGAAATTGTTAAAGATACATTTTACTGTGTAGTAACGAATGTTTCAGTACATTAATGTCGGACGTAAAATGAATCAATGTGTCAGTAACTGTTCTTTTTAAATAGAAACAGCAGCTACAACAGTACAGTCCACAACAAGTGGAAACAGATTGGCTTCAGGTGGGTGGATACCGTACGATACGTATCAGATCAGATCAATACTAATTTTCTTTCAAATTGTGATACATTTTTCTGTATAGTAACGCATGTTTCTAAATACTAATGTTAAATCAGTCGACCTTAAAATGAATCGTTGTATCATTAACTATTGGATTCTATTTAAATAGAAACAACAGCTGCAGCTGTGGTACAGCCAACAACAAGTGGAGAAATAATGACGTCAGGTAAGTTGATATGATACCTTAAGATAAGATCAATAAAATGCTTTGAAATTGTTAAAGATACCAGGGGAGGATTTAGGGGGGGGGGCGGCCCGGCCCCGGCACCCCATTTTGGGAGGTAAAAAAAAGAAAAGAAAAAAAAAAAGAAAGAAAGAAAAAGAAAAAAATGCTAGCCCATAACGCCTCAAATGTTATTTTCGGGCGTCTACAACACAACAATTTCGCGGGGGCATGCCCCCGGATCCCCTGGAACAGTGTTGTCTCGATCGGCCCAACTTTCGGCCCCCCTTTCGGCCCCCCCCCTTTCGGACACTTTCGGACATCTCTGGATCCGCCCCTGGATACTTGTTTTCTGTACCGTAACGAGTGTTTCAATACCGTAACGAATGCTTTAATACACATTGTTTCAATGTTAAATCAGTCGAACGTAAAATAAATCGTTGTGTCTCAGTAACACTTGTATTATTTAAAAAAAAATAGAAACAACAGCTACAACAATACAGGCCACAGCAAGTGAAGAAACAATAACTTCAGGTTGGTTGATATGATACGTAATAACTTAATGCTATATAAATATAAACACATGCGCAAAAGAGTGTGAACGAATAGTTCTAATCGGATTCCAAAGCTAGCAAAAGCAAGTAGAAAGTATTTGTGCACTTGCAACCATAGGCCTAGAATAATTTATTATATAGGCCTAATATAAGTGCCGAAAGACCAAGGAGGCCCCGGATCTAACTTAACTAAATAAAATATAGCTTAGCTACAAAAATTGTAAACATTCAGACAATACTGTCAATGCACTGGTCCATATGATGAAGGTTACGAATAATAGACCTTCCGGAGTGTCAGTCAAACCTAACCATAGAGGTATAATAAGAATAGCTCTATGAACTTAACTGACTAATAAGAACAGCGCTAGGAATACGTGAGCGTCTCACAAACACACGTGTTGCCCACAAACGCACGTCTTCGCCTATGTTTTAACTGTCGCCTTGTGGGACCTTAGCAACAATATCCAAGGGGCGGGGCTTAGCGAAAAGTTCCATAAAGCCTTGTTTCCATAAAAACTCTGATTTGGCGACGCTGATTGGTCAGTTGGATAAGGGCGCTTTGATTGACTTCAGGTGGGTAGATACGATACGTATCAGATCAATAATAATGCTTTGAAATTGTTAAAGATACATTTTACTGTGTAGTAACGAATGTTTCAGTACATAAATGTCGAACGTAAAATGAATAATTGTGTCAGTAAATGTTCTTTTTAAATATAAACATCAGCTACAACAATACAGTCTACAACAAGTGGAAACAGATTGGCTTTAGGTGGGTGGATACCGTACGATACGTATCAGATCAGATCAATACTAATTTTCTTTCAAATTGTGATATACATTTTTTCTGTATAGTAAAGCATATTTCAAAATACTAATGTTAAATCAGTCGACCTTAAAATGAATCGTTGTATCATTAACTATTGGATTCTATTTAAATAGAAACAACAGCTGCATCTGCAGTACAGCCAACAACAAGTGGAGAAATAATGACGTCAGGTAGGTGATGATCCGAAGCATCAACTAAATGCGCAGAAGAGTGTTTAATATCAGTTGCTTCACTTCCAATAAGATTCTTTTTTTACACTCGCATATTCCCCTTCTTTAACTTACCATATTTATATTTATAGTTAGATTAATATGTAGAAAATGATTACTGGATCTCGATTGAGATACAACATTGATAATTGTAAAACATTTATATAAGCATAGCCCTATCAGTGTTTAATTAGTCGAACGTAAAGTAAATCGTTGTATCATTTATCATTAACAATTGTGTATTTCTGTCTCTTATACA